CGGAGCAGAGCCTGGATGCTGTGGTTTCCTAACGCACAGGCGAGCTTCTCTTTGGGCAACAAAGTGGCCGATGACCTCACTCCTCTTTATTTCCTGTAGGTCACTGTGGTCTATAAAATCTCTCCACACCAGCATTAGTAAACCACGGATATGAATATTAGGTTTTCCTCTTTTTTGCGGTGGAGTGTGAAAGAGGTCACAGCAGGTGTGACTGATCAGTGTTTACTGGCTTTGAATGAGTCACTCTTTGTTTTAGTGAAACAGACTCATCTGTGAGCAAAATGAACACAGGACAGAGTCTGAGCTCCACTCAGTGTCATAAAGATTAAGGGAAGGGACAAATGAACGCGTTTTAGACCACTCGAGTTTTTCTTCTGTTTCTGATTAGACTATTTGGGGATTTTATTATTTCTTTTAGAAAACTTTTTTAGAAAACTGAAAAAGTGCCTGAGATGATGTTTTTAAACCTTTTTCCCTGAAATCTCCCAAACATTCAGTTTATTATCAAATAAAAAAATGAAAAAATGCTGAAAACCAAAAAACAAGGCGTCCTGTTCTCGACTATATCAGCTTTGTATGAGTCACACTTTACGCTTCCTGAAACTCAAGTTTCACTTTTTAAAGAGAAGTTTTGAACACAAATGGATGTTTGTTCTTTATGACCATTTAAAGCTCTGACATTAGAAAAAACTAATGTTTAGTGATGCGAGCGAGTGCAGTCTGAGGCTCATGCACCATCACCACAGAAGATACACGACAGGAAATATATGGTAAAAATTATCCTTTGATCAAACCAGTTTTGCTGGTTGGTGAGAAGCATCAGATTTATGTCTCGTATTGCTCATCTTCTGGTCAGGAGACTGTATGTCATGTGACCTTTGGTCCACCGAGTCACTGATCATATTGTTTGTCTGATATTTGTCTGATAGAGTCTCTGTGCTGGTGGTCACGCCATGAATGGACTCTTGTCATGGATCAGCTACACTGCCCACAAAAACAGACACATTTACTCCACTGTATGTGTGTGTGAGTGTGAGTGTGTGTGTGTGTGTGTGTGTGTGTGTGTGTGTGTGTGTGTGTGTGTGTGTGTGTGTGTGTGTGTGAGTGAGTGTGTGTTAAAGCCAGTGAAGTCAGATTAGCTGCTTCTGAAGAGATTAAAGCCCCAAACACAGAGGGGCTGTTAAAACCTGCCTACAGGCTCTAATCCGGGCTAATGGACGCACCCCCCAATCTCCACACACACTTGAAAAAGGAAGGAGGAAAAGATGGGAGGGGGGTGTTAAGGGCATTCCTTAATTTCTAAACACAAAGACCTCATTTGTTGAGGGTAAAATGGAAAAAAGGCGATGTGGAAGAACGAAAGGTCAAAAGAGAGGAAAGATGTTTCGAGGGGGAGGGAGCGGGGGCGTGAGAGCGAGATGGATGAAGATGGATGAGAAATGCCACAAAGAGAATCACAGACGACACTCGGAGCAAAGACGGACAGAGGAACTGAGAAAGAGCTAAATTCAGACTAATCTTATTTTCTGAACCCAGACCTCCATCTGACCTGCGGACCTGCGGCTGAAACCTTTTAGTCCAAACTGCTCATTCTTTGATCCACTTGATAGACCTGCTGGGACAAGACAAATTCAGGTTGTCCTCCCAGTCTGCATGCTAACGTAGGGATGTAGACACCGAGGCTTGCCCGAGGGCCCAGAATTACTCTCAGTAACAACTTCAGTCAGAGCGCTTTTAAACAGGTTTAAACAGTCTCAGCTAAACAACCGCATCGTTCCTCTGACATGTTCTGCATGCAGAGCTGCTAAATGCTGCTCGGGACGTCAGAAAACGATTAATGGAGAATATTTATGTGACAATATTTATTTGTAAAAAGTCACAAAAAGTTGTGGAGAAACTGCCACAGAGTTTACGTTGATATTATTTTCAGAAATGTTGCGTAAAGTTTAATTTTTTGATGTGTGAAGAGTCTTTACCCATATCTGTAAAACTGATGATATCATTTTTACCTCAAACACTCCAAAGATCACACGTCTGGATCAACGCTTCGGAAAATGTTTGCTCCCAGCCTGGAAACTGTGACAGATGTTTACAGATGGGCCACATTTATGCCACTTGTTATATCTTTGCCCTTTTCATAACCTCTTATTAGTATATTGATCTTGTAAATGTAGATGAATAAACACGTCATCATTTTTGTGTCATAATTCAGAATCCAGGTTGATCAGACAGAGGCTGTCTGAATAATTTCAAATGCTTTTAACTGTATCAGGTGTGTCAGGTGGGCGAGTTTGCTCCGTCTGGATGAATAAGACTCACACAGGAGGCTCAGTGTGTGCCACATTGTTGGACAGCACCGAGCGCCCAGCACTCGCACACTCTGTAACTGCTGTCAGCTTCATATCATTTCTTATCAGCTGGCTCTCTGCAACGTACGGGTTGGTGTCATTATAGAAAACTATATTAAAGAATTTAAAGTGTCATAATGTTTGGATGATACAAAAGCAAAAACACAGAAATATATCGATGAAGAAGTGATTTAATCACCACGTCACCAGCGGCGCACACAGGGTTAGCTGGTTTAATTTGGGCGTTTTTCTGTCAAAAATCAAATCAAATCAATGTTCTGCAGATATCGTTCACTTAGTTTCATAAATGTTGTCGACATTAAGACAAGAGGACAGTGAGTGTCAGTGTAATTAAAAAGAGCTGCTCCTAATTTCAAGAATATATATGTACTTAATTTTTATTTTATACATTATTTAATTTAATTTAATGTATTTCATTGAGGGTAAAAACAAAAATCTCAGAAAGGCTTTCAGAAGAAAAGACGGGGAGGTTATGGTCTGATTGTGAAATAGAGAAACTTCATCATCTGCACAACTTAATATCATTAAAAATTCAGCGATCCGTCTGCAGTGAGGCGCTGCACACAGACACGAGTCTGTTTAAGGGAATTCCTGTCAGAAACACTTTAATAAGTTCAAACTCATTCACGAGAACGAAAAGCAGACGCAGAGCTGGAACTGAGCTCAGTCTGAAATGCGTCAGTGCTGCTGCTTCCTCTCCACTAAACATGACAGAAGACTGTTGAACTGAGTCTGAGGCAGGAAATAGTCGACTTTCAAAGCACAGAAACGGATCAGCTCAGAGTGTCTTTTAAAGAAGACGTGCTGCAAAACAGTGGGAAGCTACTTTTTCATGTTACTGTGACAGCACTGAGCAGCTCCTTCAGTGGGAGACTGCGGCTCCCACGGTGTGGGACGGAGAGATTTCGCAGGTCTTTCCTCCCCACTGCTGTCAGACTCCATAATAAAGACTTTAACTGATCAAGCACACACATCCATACATATGCAATAATACTAAGTGCAATAATCCTTTCTGTCATCGTTGTATTTTTACTCAGTTGTATATAGTATTTGTATTTGTATTCTATTTTTATCTTATTGTATATTTATTTTATTTTATTCTACTGTATATAGTATTTTATTTTATTCTATTCTGTACAGTTGTGTACTGTATTTATTCTTATTGTATTCTAATTTTTGCCTCATAACTTTTGCACTGTCCACTTCCTGCTGTGACAAAACAAATTTCCCACGTGTGGGACTAATAAAGGTTATCTTATCTTATCTTATCTTACTGGCAGCAAAAACAAAAGATGGATATGTTTGTTCAAAGAACAGTAAAGTTTAAAAACATCATTTGTTAATTATTGCAGTCATATCTTGAGAACAGGGCTGTGCAGAGCGCTCCTTTCATGATGCATATTTTTTTCATGTGGCTGTCTGGAGGTAGTCTACTGTAAGTACAAAAGCCTGAATAAAAAATGCAGGCAGATGGTTTCAGTCAGTTTGACTGCTGCCAAAGATCTGGGGAGGGGAGAAAGAGAAAAGGGCTAAAAATCCTCCTACGCCACTCAGCCCTAAATATCCCTCCTCCTCCTCCTCTCATCCCAGTCCAGGCTCCCTCTCACCTTCCACATCCTCTCATTTCTTCTGCTCTTTTTGGATTCAGGCTCTTCTGGGCTAAATCCTTCACCTCCCGTTTCACTCAAACTCTGCACCTTATCAACTTCCCCTCCTTCAGCTCTCCTTCCACCTCCTCTCTCTTATTCCTGCTCTCAGGTTCTGGCCTAATTTTAAGTGAGAAAACTCCACAATGCAGGCAAAGAATGACAAAGAGGCCTAAATGATGTTGCCATGAGGAAAAAGAGGAATTCCAGAGTAAACAGAAGCAAAGGACAAACACAGCTTTCTCTTCCTGCATTTTATCCCCCAATTCAGAGAGAAGTTGAGCTACAGGAAACACTTTTTTTACACGTTTCTTGGTCATAAATGCTGATAAACTGAATATGTTCTTGGTTTTGGACCGCTAACTGGACAAACCAAAGACCCTGTTAACCTGGAAACAGCACCATTCAGCACCAGGCCATGGGCGGACAGCAGCCTGGAAGCTGGCATGGACACAAGATGGGAATTGCAGTTATGTTGTTTGGAGATATAAAGATCAGACTAAATCATTCCTGGCAGAGACTTTTAGCATGAAAGGAAGCGTGCTACAGAGCAGCAGTGAATAATTTAACACGATAATGTGGTATAGTGCAGCATTTCATTCAATATTCATAAAAACACACGGCCGCAGATGATTTATCAGATATTAAAAAGCTGAATCGGGTCAGACACTCCCTACAGATGGATTTACCTCCACACAAACATCACGAGTGAACATTTACTGACCCGAGCATGTTTGAGTCAAAAGGTGAAATCACAGACAGGAGGAAGTGCGCACCAACACCCACACATGTATGTACAGTGACACACAAACACTTGTCTAGTATCTCAGCACAGTCGCTCACACACTACCTGCCTTCCTATTATGTAAGACACCGTTAGAGCCTCCAGCCCTGATCTCCAACCCACTGACACACAGACACACACATTCATGGATGGAAACCCAGACACCAGCAGAAGCCTGGGATGCTTCAGTGTTAGTCCTACCTCTGCAGGTGTCTCCTCTTGATGTGTCTCCTCCTCTCAGGCTCCTCTCCGTGGCTCTTCTTCTAGCTCTGTATTGTTTCTCGGTCCAGTCCACCGACTCGTGCCTTTTCCTCCTGTCGTTTTTTGCACTGATGCTGCAGTGGTACAGAAAACACACCCTTCTGAGCTCTGCCTCTTCTCCCTCCCTCCTTCCCTCTCTGCTGCTCTCGGATTGGCTGCTTCACAGAGATGACATCAGCCTTTTTATTGTAGTCTCTCTCTCTCCCTCTCTCTCTCTCCATATACCTCCTGCCCCTCCCTTCCTCTTTGCCTCAAAGCCCCCCCCCCCCATCCCCTATTTTTATACTCTCTGTCTTTTATATTTATATTTATATTTATATTCCTTATATCCATTAATGCTGCTAATGGCTGAATCACAGAAGCACAAGCTCATTATAAAAGCTTCCTATAGTTCAATAAGAGATGTTTGTTTGCCAGTACACTGGTCCATTAGAGAGGGAAGCCTTACAGTTTGGGTAAATATTTTAGATTTTTTAAAAATTATTAAAAATTATTTTTGAATTATGATATTTTAGACCAGATCGATCAAAGCCCCTAAACCCTGAAATGGAAAAATTGAAGATAATGGATGGATCCATGAAATTAGAGTTATTATATTCTTCTTCTTCCCTTTCTTTTTTTGGAGCACTATTCAGAATTGCAGGACAGAAGAGGGAGAATATGACCCTTTAAGTTCAGCTACACTAATGAATAGAAACTGAACTGAACTGATTAATTAGTAATTTCCATCTTCAGGGTCCTGAAAGTGAGTTTCTTGCTAAAGCTTGAATACGAGCAGTGCCCTCGGTGAAATAGCAGCTGGTTCTTGCTTTGCATGAACTCAGCAGGTTTAAAGACTGAAGCATTTTCGACCTGAGCCAGTGTGACCATATGACCGTGGGTTAGTCCGGTGGCATCGTTGGGACTTATGTCACAAGCCTCTAACAAAGGTTAGTATTGTTTACTGATAACTGTAGATAAATGTGACTGCAGACATCAAGTCAACAAATTGGTGGGTGAAATTGTGTTACGCATGTCAGTGGCGTCCTGTTAGGGCAACCAATCAGAGGCGTGCTTGTCTCATGAAAACACAACAAAGTGAATCTACTGTTGTTGTTTTATTAGTTTTATTTTTTATTCTGGCTGCTGGTGGTTATTGTCTCTGGAAGCAGGATTAACTCTGCTTGACTGTGATTACACTAGAATCTGTAGTTTAAGTGTTTAAATGTTATTTCTTCTGCTTAATGCAGGTTTTAAAGTTAAAACTTGTTGTTAATCTTCAGCTCTTTAAATAATTTATCTTGTTTTAGTTTATTATGTCTTTGGGTAAATTGGCTATGTCATAGTTAAAAGGCCCACTCCCTTTAAAACCCTGAAAAATGTGTGACATAACAGAGCAGTACCGCCCCTGAACTCACCACCAACAGCAGCTCACATTGTGCTTCTTCCATCTCCTTCCAGTCTGTCCAGATGCCTTCCCGCTCTGCTCCTCCTTCTTTTCCTCCTCTCATAATTAGAATGGAGATTATGTTCTCTGGTATCCAGATTATAAAACCCAGTGACATCCATGTGACATTTTGTTAACTGCCAAACAGAGCAGGCATCCAAAACACGCCCACACTTTCTCTGTGTGTGTTTGTGTGTGAAAGATAAATACAGAAAGAAGGATGTGAGAGGACAGATGGACGGGACCAGGCGTCAGTTTTTTAAGTGGTTTTCTTTAGCAGGAAGATGGATATGATGAAACAGTGATCGGTTAGTGTTTCTTTGTGTCTCATCGTTGTTGTGCTCTTCTCCATAGCTCTCCGACAGCTTAATATAAAACACAAATCATCAGTCAAACAATCTGCAAATCCCACAAAAACATTTAAAAGAAAAGAAAAACCTGCTTTGAAGAGGCCTGAGCATTATTAAGCCTGCAGCATGAGATCCTCCTCTTTAACAACCAGACTAAAACGCAGAAATGTAATAAAAAGCTAAAATAACTGACATTAAATAGCATAAAAGCTACACAAGCACACACAAAAGCACACATAAGCAACGCATTTCTGATTTCTACGTGATTCATGCACTCAGTGAGGTTGAGTACGGTGCAGGTCTGCTTTTTACTCAGGCTACACGTGTGGTCCTGTGAAAATGTCACGTTGTGAGGCAAATTGTAACCTTACCAATCCCGGACGAGCCCCCATTGGTCACAAAGTGTATCAAGGACAGAAAGCAAGGTAAGCAGAGACTCCTCACATGAAGTCAGCAAACTGAGTGATGCAAGGAAAGAGAGGAAGTCATTATGTCCTACAGGACTGTTGAAGGTAAAGTGCGAGACATGTTAAAGTTTGGATTATTCTTCTGTTACATTCTTTGGTAGCACTCATTGCACACACGTACTTGTGTAGCATTTCCTGTAGAATCTGCACAGAGAAGTGTTGAGAAAAACTGAAACTGAGCACATCAGGAACCAGGCTTCAGTTAGCTGTCAGGATAACGTGTTTGATGGTCCCTCCCTCTGTGCTGCGCAGCCAGGACGACGACCTACAATGCACAACCTTTTGTTCTATATGGTTACACCATACTCGCAAATCACTTCATGTAGCTGTATTTAACTGGGAATATGTGTATGCAGTCAAAACAGCAAATCTAAGAAGGGAGGTAAAAAAAGCTGAGACACAGCAAAGACTGCACAAAGCTAGCTGGCCTTTTCAATACCATCTAAAACATACACACAAAGTTTTGTCAGGGAACACCTGTTTGAACAGTGTTTGGACCTGCATGTGTGTCACAGCCTCAGGTACAAACAGATGTCACAGAAACTGCTTTAGCAAATTTGGGGTATTTCAGAATAATTTCTATTGTAATTTACTGTCCAGCAGCTGATGATTAGATTTAACCTTTTCATTCCTTAACTGTGTGTTAAAGAAGAAAAACACAAGAAGCATGTCTCTTTCTAAGAAAAGGGAACTGGACAGTTTTTGTATCACAGCAAGTTTCAGAAAACAAACTTCAAGTTTCCAGGTTTAAATTCTCAGATGCAAACATGCAGACATGATAAAAATAAAAGGTGATTTCCAGAAGTTTAATATATTCATTTTAATACTGAAAAGGCCTTTCTTCCTCTCAGCCTGCTCTGTTAATGCTGAAATAATAATGAAGTACAGTCAGCTTACTGATGAAACGAGTGACAGAGCATTTCATATTCCATTACGAGGCAAACGTAAATGAGCACCGTCCTCGTGCTCGTTATAGTGTGAAGGTGCTTACACTCACTATTCAGACTAAATAATAATAATAAAGTACATATTGTGCTACATGAGCCAACAGCAGGTCCAGCTGAGCTGCAGGAAGATGCCTCACTGCTTAATTTAAATCAATTACAATTCAGTTTTATTTATATGGCACCAAAATCACAACAACAGTCACCTGAAGGCGCTTTATTTTGTAAGGTAAAGATTCTACAGCAATACAATATTATACTAATACTTATATATGTTTTAAATATGTTTTATCTGAGCTAATGTTTAATAAAAGTTTAACTTAATAGTGATGAGACTGGACCTGAGCAGGCTGAGCCTTCGTTATGCATCCCTTTGTGCACACAGTTACAGTAAATCACAAACTGACCGGATTTAAAGGAGCTTAAGCGAGAGAACGACCAAAGTTATGAATATTTATTCTCAGAGTTTTCGATGTCTGTTTGTTCACAGGCTGACACAGTGCTGTATAGAGCAGTGCTGCTACACGGCTGAACCGCAGTGAAAGTGTGAGCACCATCCAAACTGCTCTTTAGACAAAAACCAGGGTATTTCCAGATTCCCCCTCTTTCATTTTCATCTTCTGATCTCCTTCTGCTCAGAAAATTGAGTTTCCTCTCAAGCAGACAGCGGGCCCATTATCTCCTCCACCTCCTGCAGCTTCAGCTTGTCCCCTCCTCCCCCCGACTTCCATAGCCTTCCTCCATTTTCATGTCCTCTATTGCTTAATTCGCTTAACCTGCAAGTGCGTGTGCGTGTGTGTGTGTGTGTGTGTGTGTGTGTGTGTGTGTGTGTGTGTGTGTGTGTGTGTGTGTGTGTGTGTGTGTGTGTGTGTGTGTGTGTGTGTGTGTGTGTGTGTGTGTGCGTCTGAGAGCTGATGGTTAAGAGTCAAAGATCAATACAACAGACGAGGATCATTCCCTCTCATGTCCTTGTCTCATGTCTGCCATTGTCTGGGACATGTCATTAAAACACACACACCCACACACACACACACACACACACACACACACACACACGCACAAACACACACACACACACACACACATACACACTCACACACACACACGCACGCACGCACACACACGCACGCACGCACGCACACACACGCACGCGCGCGCACACACACACAGACACGCACGCACGCACGCACACACACACGCACACACACACACACACACACACGCTTTCTGTGTGGATACTGTTTACTGTAATTGTGACTCAACCTCTCAATACAGAACACCAACAACCTGCAGCACGTGTGCACACACACACACACACACACACACACACACACACACACACACACACACACACTGGGATTAAAGACGTCCTGTCATCCGAAGTGTGAGGCTGAAGTGCAACAGAGAGAATAATGTCAGAATTTTAAAAGACAGCAGAAGCTGAGGAGCAGCACTGATGTAGATGTGATCAAAGGAAAAAGTGAAAAGATGAATAAAGGTTAAAGTTTTATTCTATTACAATAAATCCTGTAAAGCAATCAGACCATCAGGATTATGAATTCTGCGTCTGCTGAAGCAGAAAAAAACATTTTAACCCTCTGGGGTCCAGGGTGTAATCGGCCATTTTTAACTACTTCTGATGTTTCCTCCACATTTCACCTTTAAAAACGATTTACTTTGTCTTGTTTGGTCTCATCAGCACAACCTCACGTGTCTGAATCTGCAGTCATGCTTTCATTTTGACTACTGTAGTAACACAACTGATCTAAAATCAGACAAAAAACATAAAATCAGAGTAGAAAAAGTGATTTTTTTTACTGTAACAACCACAAACATGTTTATTGAATCATATGTCATAACCTTAAATGTAAATATAAATTGTCAATTTTAAAATCATATGCACAAGCTTTGTAAACAACAAAGTTATTTGCAGCCATTTACCTTTGACCTTGATCTTTTAAACAACGTCTTCCTCATGATGCACCGATGAAGCATCAGTGCACTCTCACACCTTCAGCAATCACATTAACGAGACAGACTGAATATGCAGCAGTCGTTTCTTTTCATTACTGACGGTCAGTGAATTCATGTGTCTGTCGTGTGTTTGTTAATATCACCGCCTATGATTAGAGGTGGAGTCTACAGCATATGACCAGTCACAGACATGAACATGTCTATTTGCAGAAGAGTGGCATGTCTAAGCTAACATGCTCAAAATCAAAAAAGCATGTGACTTGTTCATTAATTATTTTGAGTCAGTGGTTTTTGTGACTTTAGACAGTCTCTACAAACTGTGGACCCTCTTTGTACCTCTGAGCTCTGCTGATGCCATTCTTGAGATTCCAGAGAACCAATGGAAGACGTTCTTATGTGCTGATGTCGTAATCTCAAATCTATTCTGCGACAGAGCAGGATACATCTGCAGCACAAGTTACCACGGTGATGTTTCCATAAACAGGACAACCATGCACACTGAAAACAAGTGAGTGTGAAAAGAGGCAGCACAACTTCCTGCTCACTTTCTTTGGTTCCCAGTTCATCAGGATAGATCAGCTACACCTGAGGGAAGAGCACAAGCGCGTGATGAACCATAAACAATAAACCCTGAACCTGGGCTATGAGAAGCACTGATGCCATAAAAACATTCTGATAAATAACAAGAGCCATCTGTTTTTGAAATGATTATTTTACTGGAGACTGTGAGCAGATTGTACCACTGCTGCTGCCTGTTTCCACGTGAGCAAAGGTCATCTACTCTTTGCTGGGCCTCGTCCTTTAGATGTCACAGTGAGCAGTGCCATCTGGTGGTAAGTTAAAGCACTGCACACAGAATACATGGCTGGAACGTGGATTACCGCGGGAGTGTCATTCTACTGGATTTCATCCATAACCCAGCGGGTAGCGTAAGAACGCAGACGATCACCTTGCGTGTTCCTCACGAACACTGAGGGACTTGACAGATCGTCATTATAGTGCACCTCGGAGTGAGAGCGGGCGTCTTAAATGATAAAATCCAGAATTAGATTTCTTCCTTTCTTAGAAATACAGTAAAAACATCTTCTGTTGTAAAAATCTCATCAACTTTCTAAAGTGTCACACTGATGTAGGCACAGAGAATCATCAGCCTCCATCCAGCATCCTCCCCTGTCACATCACCCTGCTCACTATCCATCCTCCTCCTCTGTGGTCTTCCTCTTTTCCATCTTCATCATCCTTTGTTCAATATCTCCACTACCCCCGAGTAGAGATGTTCAGAACATCTCAGCATGTCTTTGTTTTTATAACTGGTTATTCTAAACTGGCTGCATGTGTGGATGTGAGATTGTGTCAGCCTGCTCACCCTGTACTGATGCTCACATGAAGCCCTTTGTAATGGAGGGAAACAGGTTTATTTCCGCTGCTGGAGCCTCTAGTGGACATTAGAGGAACTGCATCTTATTAATATTATTACAGCTTACGGAGATGATGGTGATGATGATGAGGATTATAATAATCTCTGTAATCTTATATACAGAAGAATAGACTGAACTAGGATATTTATACATATATGTCCTAACTTTATCAAAGCAGCCTTTCAAAAATGCTGATATTCAACATTTAAATTAACACTGAAACTTTTTAAAGCCTTTCTTTGTCTCACTTCCCCGTTTCTTCCTCTCATGGTCTTCGGTAAAGTCACACAGAAACTTGTGGTTTGTGATGCAACTGAAACGGCACATTGTCTGGTTCCTCTTTTATTTTTTCTTGAAAGAGGAGAAATAAATACTTCTTTTTTTACTTTTGTCTGGCAGCACGCAGTTAATCTTTGACATCCATCAGGTCACTGGCGAACCACTGAGTAACCCTCAGTGGTTCGCCAGTGACCTGATTAGGTTTTTCTTTGGCCACATCTTAAAAAAGAAGAAACTAGAAGACGGTATCTTCACATTCTCATATTAAACTTTGTGGTTTTCTGTCATGAGCCTCCTGTGTGGGAATATCAAAAACAGGAAGCTGAACGTCCAGATTCAGGTTGTGGATAATAATTTATTACGGTGCCCACAGCCTGTGGGTTTTTTCCTGTTGCCGTTGCTCTCGGGTGGAGATGTGGCTGGTGTGTCCTTGCAGGTCGACCTGTAGGTGGAGTCTTTTCTCGGGTCTTCTATGCCTGCTGTGCATTGTTGAATGATTTCTTGGTATTCAAGGACCGGCTGGTTCTGCTGCTGTCTCTGTGATGGTGGTAAACACGCCTCCTTTCTAACTGCGTATTTTGTTCGTGTCTCTCTGATCTTGTTTGCTCAGTTCGTTGGCTGAAGCCTGTCAGATATTCCCAACTTCTCTAACCTGCATCTCTACAAGGAGTTTAACTTACTGACTGTGGCTGTTTGACTCAGGTAGGTTGCAGAACTTACCTGCGACTCACCTGAAGTGCTCACTTTCCCTCTGGAATTCTGTCCGCTGTCTGCTGCTCTTCTTCTATCCTAGTCAGGAACACAACCACTAAGACCTGAATCATTTTGCAGAACCAACAAGGTCACGTCAGTCTCACCTTGGATGTGTTTAAAGTCTCCTCTTCCCCCTTCAATACCACAAATATTTTTAATTGAAGCAGCTGGTTATATTTGGATTAGGATGAGGTTATTTTTTTGTAAACTACAGACTTCCATGAAATTTATGATGTGTTCAAATAAAAAAAAACAAAAACACAAGTGTGGATGCAAACTGTTTTCAGCTGAGAGAAGCAGAACATCAAATAAGCTCAGGCCAGAAGAGACTCAAACTACCAACCCAGTTCACATCTCACATCACAGGTTTCCAGTGATGACATCAGCAGGCAGAGAGGTGATGGTCAGATCCAAGGAACTTCAGCGCTGCGGGTCGAGCAGCGAAACATGGGTACATATCTGGGAACTGTTATAAAATATAATCCAAGTGCCTGTTTGCTAAGTATATTATATATTAGGTGTGTTGCGACTTTCAGCCGTAAATAAAGCCGCGGCTGGCTGAGTTGGTTGTGTCCCTATGACGCGCCTCCAATAATCCATAATGAGTCGGACTTGTACTTTGCGCATTTATTTTAAGAACAAAACAAAAACAAACATTTGCGCTTTCAATCAATTTACAACTAGCGCATGGATTAACTGGTGTGCCAAAAAATGACGGTCAAAAGAAAAGTTTGCCCACAAACCACTCAGCCAACACACCTGCTGCGTACACCGACATCAGGTAAATAGACTGTGACCACACCCACATACCATCACCTGAGACGCAGGTAAAGCTATACACCTGTGCCACCAAAACAAAAAGGAAAAACATAAACATTGACTTTGGCTCTTACAAGGTGTACTTCCATGGTACATTAGTTCCTGTATGGCACTGTCATTAAATCTGTTCTTCTTAATTATTAATAACTTTGTAAAAAACACTTAAAATATTCTGTTTGCAAACTGAATTACACTTAACTGTTCAAATCTGTTTAAACTGTTTTAATCAACCGCTTCGCACTACAACCTGGTTTGCTTCTTATCTGTAGTTATTTTTATTTAATTGAATAACTGTACAGTACTCTGTTTATAGTAACCACCGTCCTTAATGTAAATATGTAAGAAAAATTGTGCATGTTTCTGTTCTGTGTCCTGTTTGTTTGTATATGTGTCTTTCTGGCTGCTGTTACAACCAAATTTCCCCTTGTGGGACAATTAAAGGATTATTCTATTCTATTCTATTCTATTCTATTCTATTCAAAGTGCTGTAAAAACATAAACCTGCATACGATTTTGACTTCCTCGTATTGCAACGTGAACTTCTGCACCTGTGCAGTTTCTTCTTCATGTTTTGTTTTTGAAAATATTCTTAAGGGACTCAGATTAGAGCAGAAACAACTCAAACAAGCATCATCAGGCAGACAGTGGATAAATAAAAATGGAGTGTGACCAAATGCAAATAAAAATGCTGCAAAGGTTACTCATGATACAAATGAAAAGGTTAAAACAACCTCACAAAGACAGAAAACCTGAGTCCTTCTTGAAGTAAAGGAGGTCCACCCATGTGTGGCTGCTTGTTTACAGTAACTAGCTCTTACTTCCTCTTTTTAATCACTTCACTGAATGTTGTGTCAAATAGATTTAGAGAACCAGCAGCTGCTTCCTCTTTCTGTTACATACTCACTGAAGTGATGCTTGACTACCACTGAAAACATATTCAGTGTATTTGGCCTGTTTAGCCTCCAAACTACAAAAGATATCATTGTTTAGAAATTGTTTAATCATTTAAACCCCAAAAACACGTCTTAAACAACAATAGAGACACGAGGTCGAAGAAGATACAGTTCATGCATGTTATCATAACCCTAACCCTTAAACACAAATTAACTCAGAGCGGCAGACTGATGCAGCAAAACGATGAAGTATGATGTACAGCATGTACTCTATAGCACCGAGCAGTCTTAGGTTATGATGCACATGATGGTCAGGTGTCTTGTGGCAACTGACGAACTGAAACAAAGGAGCGTGCTGTGTGTGCAACAGCATGACAAACATTACCTGTCCTGTCCCAGGAGCTAAAGCTAGGCTATAGTAGAGTACAACGGATCACCTCCGGAGTGGCTCGCGTTAACCCGAGGCTCGGAGTAGATAACGTCACTGGTGTTACTGCGGGACGTGCTGTTGGCAGAGTCACTGCTCTTCTTGGAAAAAGTCACCACGGAGTAGGTGAGTTTGCTCGAGTCGTCTCCAGTCTGAAAAAAATAAAACATAAAATTGTTTATTACAGGTAATGTTTTAAATTGATCTGAGACCATTTTCACAAAGTAGTCCAAGACTTTGTGTTCACTGGAAGCAGGCGCCACAAATATCAGAATATCAGCTCCTCTGTGTGCTGTGTTGTTAGAGGTCACAGGATCGGACCTTTGATCCAAGACCTGGTTACAGCATCCAGCATCCCCCCATGAGGTTATTGATCTGAAATAACGATCTGGATTCTTTAAACTTACTTTGTGCTTTTCAACGTGACACTGATGATATCGTCTTCATATTTATCACAAATGTGAATCTTTTCTCAGATACAACTGTTTGTTCCGTGAATACAGAAAGTGTTTTCTTACTTTGTGCTGAGAAGTGGTTGCAGTGACCAAGCTGTGGTCATCATTGGTTGGTTTGGTGTATTTGGCATGAGAGTCAGGAGGAGATCTGCTGTGTCTGCCCTCTGCTCGGATATTCTCATACACTGTGTTGGTCTACAGGAGAAGAAGAGGAAATCTAATATCAGCTGGTTTCACAAACATCGGTGCTGAGTCTACAAGTCCTTCAACCTCACCTCTGTGACAGCAGCGTGTTCAGTTCCCACAGGAGGATCTGAAAAACACATCAGTACAGTGTTTATACTGCAGTTAGGTACTCAGTCCGTCACACAGAGAGACAGAAAACCACTCATGCCCACATTCATGCTCACACGAATGATCAGAGACTGTAATTCAACCGAATATTCAAACTCCAGCCATCAGTTTGTCCAATTCAGGTTTGCAGAGGGCCCAGAGTGTATCCCTGCTACCACAGGGTGGAGGCGTGGTGCACCTTGCACAGGTCGTCAGCCTGTTGGAGGGATAACTTGCAAACTCTGCACAGGAAGGCCAGATGGAGGATTCGAACACAGCTTACAACATGCAAAGAGATGTCTGACAAAATGTTCACTTTTCTGTGAAAACAGGAAGTTTGATGAGTGTGCCCGTCAGTGCTTCCGGCTGTCTCACCCTTTGGTTTAGAGGATCTGTTCTTGCAGAATATCAGCACCGACACTGATAACAGGATGATGATGAGAGCCAGAGTCAGACCCACAAACGGCACCACATCTGCAGCAGTTTGATGAGAACAACACGTTATTTTAGACAAACACCTCCTGATGAGTGTGAGCACCAGCCCTTCACGTGGGCTGTAAAGGTAGCTGAGTGCACATGTACAGTATAGTTGTATGCAAATTTCTTCCATGGAGAATTTGGTCAGACTGTCATGCTGTATGAGCATAAAACCATGTCTACATGACATACTCACTTCTGATTGGTTCCTAGTGGCAGATAACAGCAAAATTATACAAATGATACAAATTCACTTGAAGTATGGACGTCTATAAATCTTCCGTCTCTCAAACCCAGTGGATGGACGCACCTGTAGATGCTGTCCTCTCAGACTGCTCAGTGGTTCCAGTGAAAGTTGATGGAGGCGCAGAGGCTGATGGGAGGACTGGTTAAAAAAATCACATAATGTCTTTAAGGTGGAGATATTGTGGCATGATTTACTTTCTGTACACACTGCAGTGGTATTTTTCAACTAAAGCATATAAATTTGTACTTAAAGACAGGAAACATCAGAAAGCTTTAAGTGAGACTTCTGTCTCTCAAACCCAGCGGATGGACGCACCTGTAGATGCTGTCCTCTCAGACTGCTCAGTGGTTCCAGTGAAAGTTGATGGAGGTGTGGAGGCTGATGGGAGGACTGCTAAAGAAGTTCAGCCATATGTTTTTTTTCAGGTGTTTGAGGCGAACAACAGAAAACAACACATAACAACAATTTGACACATAAACATCATGAAAAGACAAAAGGAAACCAAACGTCTCCTCCTTGAATCGCTACCTTATCGTGGTGGAGGGGTTTGTGTGTCCCAGGGATCTCAGGGGCTATGTTGTCTGGGGGCTTTTGCCCCCTGGTAGGGTCTCCCATGGCAAATTGGCCCTGGGTGAGGGACCAGACAAAGAGCGATTCATAAGACCCTTATGAAAAGGACACCGAGGGAACAGTTTACCCTGCCCGGGATAGGGTTACCGGGGCCTCGCCCTGGAGCCAGGCCCGGGGAGGGTGCCCGAGGGCGAGCGTCTGGTGGCCGGGCCTTAGTCCATGGGGCCCGGCCGGGCACAGCCCGAAGAGGAGACATGGGCCCATCCTCCCGCAGGCCCACCACCCGCAGGAGGCACCATAGGGGTCGGGTGCATTGTGTGCTGGGTGGCGGCCAGGAGCGGAGGCCCTGGCGGACTGACCCCCGGCTGCCAAGACTGGCAATAGGGACATGGAATGTCACCTCTCTGGTGGGGAAGGAGCCTGAGTTAGTGCGTGAGGTTGAGAGGTACCGGCTAGATATAGTCGGGCTCACCTCTACACATGGCTTGGGCTCTGGAACCAGTCTCCTGGAGAGGGGCTGGACTCTGTCTCAGTCTGGAGTTGCCCTTGGTGAGAGGCGGCGGGCTGGGGTGGGTATCCTAATATCCCCTCGGCTTGCTGCCGGTACGTTGGGGTTTTTCCCGGTGGACGAGAGGGTTTGTTCCCTGCGCCTTAGGGTCGGGGAACGGGTCCTGACTGTCATCTGCGCTTATGCGCCGAGTGGCAGTTCAGAGTACCCAGCCTTCTTAGAGTCCCTGGGGGGGGTGCTGGAGGGTGCTCCACCTGGAGACTCTGTTGTCCTGCTGGGAGACTTCAATGCTCACGTGGGTAACGACAGCGAGACCTGGAGGGGCGTGATTGGGAGGAACGGCCTCCCTGATCTGAACCCGAGCGGTGCTTTGTTATTGGACTTCTGTGCTAATCACAGTTTGGCCATAACGAACACCCTGTTCGAACATAAGAGTGTCCATAAGTGCACGTGGCACCAGGACGCTCTAGGCCGTAGGTCGATGATCGATTTTGTAATCGTATCAGCAGACCTGCGACCATATGTTCTGGACACTCGGGTAAAGAGAGGGGCTGAGCTGTCAACTGATCACCACCTGGTGGTGAGTTGGATCAGGTGGCGGGGGAGGACGCTGGACAGACCTGGTGCACCTAAACGCGTAGTGAGGGTGTGCTGGGAACGTCTAGCAGAGGCCCCAGTCCGCGAGATCTTCAACGCACACCTCCGGCAGAGCTTCAACAGCATTCCGAGGGAGACTGGGGACATTGAGTCCGAATGGACCATGTTCAGCGTCTCCATTGCCGAAGCTGCTGCATTGAGCTGCGGCCGCAAGGTGGTTGGTGCCTGCCGTGGTGGTAATCCCCGAACCAAATGGTGGATACCAGAGGTGAAGGGAGCCACTAGGCTGAAGAAGGAGTCCTATCAGGCTTGGCTATCCCGTGGGACTCTGGAGGCAGCCGACAGGTATTGACAGGCCAAGCGGAATGCGGCTCGGGCAGTGGCTGAAGCAAAAACTCGGGTGTGGGAGGAGTTCGGAGAGGCCATGGAAAAAGACTTTCGGACTGCCTCGAAGAGATTCTGGCAAACCGTCAGACGTCTCAGGAGGGGAAAGCGGTGCTCTACCTGCACTGTGTATAGTGCTGGCGGAGCGCTGCTGACGTCGACTGAGAAAATTGTCAGGCGGTGGAAGGAATACTTCGAGGACCTCCTTAATCCCACTGACACGTCTTCCGAGGAGGAAGCAGAGTCTGGGGATGAGGGGAATGACCCGCCAATTTCCGGGGGCGAGGTCACTGAGGCAGTTAAACAACTCCTTGGTGGCAGAGCCCCTGGTGTTGATGAGGTCCGCCCCGAGTTCCTGAAGGCTCTGGACGTTGTAGGGCTGTCCTGGTTGACACGCCTCTGCAATGTTGCGTGGAGATCAGGGGCAGTACCTGTGGACTGGCAGACCAGGGTGGTGGTCCCCATCTTTAAGAAAGGGGACCGGAGGGTGTGTTCCAACTACAGGGGGATCACACTCCTCAGCCTCCCTGGAAAAGTCTATGCCAGGGTGCTGGAGAGGGGAGTTCGTCCGTTAGTCGAACCTCGGATACAGGAGGAACAATGCGGTTTCCGTCCTGGTCGCGGAACACTGGACCAGCTCTTTATCCTCTCCAGGATACTTGAGGGTGCATGGGAGTTTGCCCAACCAGTCTACATGTGTTTTGTGGACTTGGAGAAGGCATTCGACCGTGTCCCTCGGGGTGTCCTGTGGGAGGTGTTGCGGGAATATGGGGTGTCTGGCCCATTGCTACGGGCCATTCGATCCCTATACAACCGTTGCAAGAGCTTGGTTTGCATTGCCGGCAATAAGTCGGACTCGTTCCCGGTGGGTGATGGGCTCCGCCAGGGCTGCCCTTTGTCACCGGTTCTGTTCATAATTTTTATGGACAGGATTTCTAGGCGCAGCCAAGTGGCGGAGGGCTTTCGCTTTGGTGGCCTCAGAATCTCATCTCTGATTTTTGCAGATGATGTGGTTCTGTTGGCTTCATCGGGTGAGGGCCTCCAGCTCGCACTGGAACGGTTCGCAGCCGAGTGTGAAGCAGCGGGAATGAGGATCAGCACCTCCAAATCTGAGGCCATGGTTCTCAGCCGGAAAAGGGTGGAGTGCCCACTCCGGGTCGGGGATGAGTTCCTGCCCCAAGTGGAGGAGTTCAAGTATCTCGGGGTCTTGTTCGCGAGTGATGGGAGAAGGGAGCCGGAGATCGACAGACGGATTGGGGCTGCAGCTGCAGTAATGCGGACGCTGCACCGGTCCGTCGTGGTGAAGAGGGAGCTGAGTGTAAAAGCGAAGTTCTCAATTTACCGGTCGGTCTACGTCCCTACCCTCACCTATGGCCACGAGCTGTGGGTAGTGACCGAAAGAACGAGATCGCGGATACAAGCGGCAGAAATGAGCTTCCTCCGAAGGGTGGCTGGCCTCTCCCTTAGAGATAGGGTGAGAAGTTCGGCCATCCGGGAGGGGCTCAGAGTAGAGCAGCTGCTGCTCCACATCGAAAGGAGCCAGCTGAGGTGGTTCGGGCATCTGACAAGGATGCCCCCTGGGCGCCTCCTGGGTGAGGTGTTCCAGGCATGTCCCACCGGGAGGAGGCCCCGGGGCAGACCCAGGACACGCTGGAGAGATTATATCTCTCGGCTGGCCTGGGAACGCCTTGGTATTCCCCCGGATAAGCTGGAGGAGGTGGCTGGGGAGAGGGAGGTCTGGGCCTCTTTGCTTAGGCTGCTGCCCCCGCGACCCGGCCCCGGACAAAGCGGATGAGGATGGATGGAAACCAAACGTTAGCAGCTGTCAGAGACAAATACAAATTTCCTTTAATTCTCCAGATTCATGAATGAATTTGTATAGAAACTCACCTTCTGTGACAGTAATCTCAAACTCTCTGTATGGATCAGTACTAAAGGATGTGTCCAGGTAACATCTGTACCGTCCTGAGTCAGACTCCCTCAGCTGTTTAATGGTCACATACAGAATACCACTTGAACCAGATTCTTCTTCATATTCAGCACTGTATCTGTCTCTCTGAGCTGTGGCCCCCTGAGTCTCGATTAAAATCCCATCTCTTTCACATTCTCCCCTGCAGAAGTACTTCCTCCTTGCAGAGTGTTTAAAGGAACATGCGACTGTGAGAGAGCTTCCAGTTTCTTTATCGAAGTGTTTCAGCTGAGCAGGATCGTTTCCATCCAGCAGTGCTGTTAAAGAGACAAACTATCTATAGTTACTATCTGTGCTGAAGATGATGCAGTCTGATCAGAGTAACTCCAGTTTGACCCACAGTTACACTGGGAGCTGCCCAGTTCAACCAGTCTGTGACTGGAACAGTCAAAGACCTCCTTCCTAAACATCAGTATGTGAGTGTGAGTACTGCTGGAGGTCTGATTAACCAGAGCTGAGGAAATGAGAGCTGCGAGTGTTTCTGAGCGTGCCGTGTGGTGAGCTAGAATATTAGCCACAGCAGACTGTGCCTCAGCATCACAGATGGTTCATGACACAGCGATTTATTTGTGCTGCTGTGAAAACTCATTGACATCCTGCTCTTATATGATTTAGTGTTTGAGCTTGGTAAGAAGATTCTGCTGTTTCTATAACAGGAGGAGCACTTTTGTAAATGGACGGGCTCTTATGTGGCACTTTTTTACTTTATACAACTTTTCACATTCACACCAGCTCTTTTTTCTATGATGGTTTCTATCCAACATTCACACACGTTCATACTCTGATGGAGCATCTTGTGGTTAGTACCAAAAGGTATGTGATACGCAGACTGGCATGATTACACCACCAACCTTCTGATTAGTAGATGATCTGTTCCTGAGCCACAGCCACCCCATCATGAACCATAGAGGAGTTAACATCCAGCAGGGTTTCATTCACATTTCAAACATAAACATTTTCTTTAGCTGGATTTTTCATGCGCTTCAGTTTTGTTTTAATTACATTTATTTTACAACAAAGTCGGTGAATTAAATCGAGTTTTTATAAAAGCAAAAATGTAACCTCCAACTGAATAATTCTTTCTCCAAAGGCTTGTCTAACAGGCACCTCTGCCTCCCATTTTACTTTTAAAACCCTCAGTGCTCTAATGACCAAGCTCTGCAGCAGACCACAAGGTAAGGTAGCGGAGGAGGACACAAAATGAGCAACCGCAACCAAAAACCTCCTGTGACAGATACAGGAAGATAACCAGTCAAGAGCTGACCCAGAAATGCCCATGCATGCTCTACGTCTCGCAGTCAGTATTCTATGATCAGCTGTGCCTGAGGCAGCACACAGATCCAAAAGTACTTAAATAGTAACTCATATCTCCACGTGTTAAAATATCATTTGAAACTCTAAGGAGAGCCGTTTCAGTGGAGTGCATCTGGTGAATTCAGGAATGGAATTTATTTAAAATGTTGGGAGTAAAACTTCTGTAAGCTGGTTGGTCACCACCTCTCTCTCTCTCTCTCTCTCTACATATATATATATACATATATATATATATATATATATATATATATATATATATATATATATATATATATATACGTGAAGTATACGTGAAGTACCCTCAGAAGGTCTGCTAGATGATGTTAATGCAGCACTACGGGTAATACCTACAACCACGATTACCGACACTAACAAGCTGATCTACAATACGGCAGCAGTGATCAGTGAGATGCTTGGCTACAAGTTGAACCCGTGTCTAAATGTAGCTGTGTGTTTCAGCTGTGTGTTAAATGTTCCTGTGGTATTTTGTATGTTAGTTTTCCTTTGTGCCTGAAATTGTCTCCTGTCTTATTTTGTTTGCCTTATCAGATACTTCCTATATTGAGATTTTCAGTTCTGCAGTTTCTAGATTTAAAAAAACAAAAACAAAGAGAGTATGTGGGACCTAATAATATTTCATTAAGTCAATAAATAATTCATATACCAAAAAAAATCTGCACAAAAGGCAGAAATACTGAAAATTTTATTCAAAACTCCAAAAAAAAGTTGAAACTCACCTTCAGCAACAACAATTCCAAAATGTATGAACTGGTATGAAGATGGATATCGTCCCAGACCACAGGTGTACCGTCCAGAGTCAGACTTGATGAGCCTTCTGATGCTTACAGACAAAATATATTTATGTTCATATCTATATTCAGTGCTGTATCTGCCATGTTGATTACTGTTGAGCTGCGTTTCAATTAAAATATTTCCTTCTTCACATTTTTCTTTGCAGAAGATCTTCCACTTCTTAGAAGAAGAAAAGTAGCACTCAATCGTGATGCTTTGTCCAGCGAGTCTATAAAAATGCATCTGTGCACTGGTGACCTTTGTGTGTCCGTCCTGCAGAGCTGCTGGAAACATGAACCATTAATACTGATTATTTGTACTAAGCTGCATTTTAACATTTACACACAGACACAGAGTCACACTGAGACTTTAGTGTCAGTAATGGCACTCCTTTCCAATAAATCGCTTTTTATTTTACTCATAATCAAATATAATTTTTTTGTTGTTGCAGGTCATTCTCAGTGATGACTTGTTATGTTGTCATGCATGCTGTGGCTTCTCAGGACAGATTTCTGGTGCTGTAGTGCAGCAGCTCCACTAAGAGGAGGTGGGCCTGCTCCTGTTTCTGTGGCAAAAACAGTATCAAAAAACTGGTCAGTGGCATCTGATTAGATTAGTAGCAGCGCACAAACTGACTTAGCCTGTCTATGGGAATTTCCATTGTATGTTAGCATTAAGCTAGTGGGATTAATGCTAACAGTTTTTGACTCTTTTGTCTTGGTTACATGGCTAACCATGTATGGCTTTGTATCTTATTAATAAAAATATGAAGTGAGTTCTGAATATAACTGGAAGCCGTTCAGGGAAAGCAGGAATAGAGGTGATGTGTGTTGAGCTGCCGCTGCAGTCTCGACTAACTGAAGACGAGCTGTGGAGAGATGTGAGTCAGTGAGTTTCAAAAATCAAGGCAGGAGAAAATAAAGTGTGAAAAATTCCAAATGAAAGAGGTTCGATTTTCTTAAAACTCCTAAATGATGTTCAAATTTCAAATATTGGTCAAAAATCTGAAGTTCTTAGCAGATACATGAATATAATAGTTGATATAATATTATATATATATATATCATTCACTGATGCAGGAGAGGCTGTCTTCAGAAGTTTCTCCTTTCATCATTCTGTAAGTACGATGAAAACCTTCTGAGAGCCGTGTCAGAGATACCAGCCCAATTCCATAATTTGTCAAAAAGAAACTTATGATCAAAGGGGTCAAAGGTCGCAGATTTGTCACGCCTGCTTGGCATTCAACGCACTTTGTTGAAAGGTGCTCTGGAATGCCTGGAAATGTACCAGAGCAGATCCCTGATGTTTTTCCGACCCATCTGTCACTCCTGTCGTATACCTCACCACCGTCTCTCTGTCCTCATACATGTCCTGCACCAGCCTCACATACTTCCTCATGCAGCACCACAGCTCCTCTCTCAGCAGCCAATCATCTGCTTTCTCTGATCCATAAAGACTCAGTGAAGCTTCTTCTGACCTTCTCTGAACTTCTCCATCAACACTCAAAGCAAGCATCACATCTGTGGAGCTCTTTCTCAGCATGAAGCCACACAGCTGTCACTGATCATCACCTCTCTGCTTAACCCAGCTTCATGATCACAAATATTAAGAGCTGAGGATGCAGGGTGACGTTTCTATTTCACTATTTTGCTTTTCGTTTCTTTCTTTTCCAGATCTACATTGAGTTCTGTTACGGCTCTTTCATTCAACTCTTCAAACTGCACAGAGATAAAAACATTTTACTGTCCTTTAATCTACTAGAATTTGCACACACTTTTTAACTTCTGCAATTTTTCTTTATTTTCTGCTCCAAGAGGCTGAACAGGAAGAGGTTTGCACCATTGTGCTGTATCACATCCACATTTTACTGACTGTCCAGTTTATTCTGAGGAAGTAACAAACACTTGTAATGAGCTGTGTTTGAAACGATGGTTTCACATGTTATCAAGTCCTGAAGTGAGCAGTAACATGTCCATGAATGTCTCACTGTGATGGTTTCTTCTGTCCATACTGGCCACAAACACATCCATGAAATCATGAATAAAAGCAGTTTGAATGGAAGAAGTGTCCATGAAAGTGACTCATAGCTGACTCTGATCATCATGTTTAACAACAGAAACATGTTGAAGAAGGAGAGTGACAGAAAGAACAAGTGAATGTACTCACAAAGGAAGAAGAAGCAGATCAGAGTGTGACGGACTTTCATGATGAGGCTCTGATGGTTCACTGCTGCCTCTCTTCTTCTTCACTGGAAACCAGGAACTTGTGACGCCTCACTTCTCTGACTGAAGGAGTCCCTCCTCCAAACACCACAGCACCTCTACACTCCTCATTTGTCTGAAACAGTTGCAACAGCTCAACTTCCTGTTAAAACAAATTTGAGTGAGGTGCAACATTATGTTCACCTGACATGTATCCATCCCCACTCTCATAGTTTCAGCATCTACTGGGCCATAATGGTTCTGTTTCAACTGGGATTAACTCCGTCCCCCTTTTTTGGTGCCTCATCGTCTCCTTCTGTTATGATAATAAAATAATGCAGTCACCATGTGCCGAGAAACTACCTAAAACCAAAGTTTTAAGGTGATTATTACATATTTAATAAATAACAGATTGCAGAAAAACTAAATATTAATGAACCATTTCATGGCATAAGAGGTAAAAAGTCACCAAATGCTGCTACAGGATTTTCAAACTGTGGGAACAAAATGGAAATGACACAAAAATGCACTAAAATGCAGGATTAGTTTTCATGTTTTTCCTGTGTGATGGAAAAAGTAACAATGCCAGTAATATTATGGATACACTAATAATACACACCATGCATTATAGAGAGAGAGTGAAAGAAAATAGATGACAACCAAACATCAGTGTTGCGTTTGCTGTTTTACTTAAAGCTTGAACACGTAGAGACGACGGGCCAATCAGACGCGTTGGAGAGACATTTTGTGGCAGTGACGACGAGGCCGGCAAAGCTGAAGCAAAATCATCAGGACAGAACTGGAACAGTGTTTCTGACCCACTGCAGAGATGTCTGTACTGTATAAGAAGGGCAGTAGGCATGATTCTTTTATGTACAGTACTTTATTCCAAATGTCAACATGCATTGTGTCAACTTCTGGGGGTTTTGTGAGCCACGGCGCCCCCTCCTGGCATTGAGAAAATGCACTCAGTTACAGTTGGGCATGACAGAGCACGTGGTGTGACGAGCTTGTTCTGCTTGGATTATGGACGTTGTTGCCTCAGTTTCACGACGGAAACGGTTTCCAAGCACAGAATAGGAATAATGACCTGAAATCGTTTATTAGGAATCATGATGGACAAAGAACGGCGCCCTGTAACCATGGTTACAGTTACTTACTCTCATGACCGTGCACGTGCACAGAGAGCGTGTTTATACCTGACATCAAACCCAAAGCATGCATGACTTTAAGTGTACGGCCTGTAGAAACACACACGGTCTGAGTCACTTTGTCATAACAATGAATTTGTTTTTAGCTCCGTGAGAAAGTGTGTGATTATGTGCCTCAGTGTGTCAGAGGGCGATACACATTTTGGAAGCACGGAGAGCCGCTGATCCACCAAATCTGAGAGTGAGCATCAGCTCCTCCTCTTCCTCACCTGCTCCTCCTCTTTTCCTCATTTCCAGAACAGCTGGCTCTGCAAACAGCTGCTGGAGTCCGGTGAGTTGTTGAATGAGCTTTTCTGACCAATCACCAGTGTTTGATTTATTTAACTAGAAACTGTAATAAAACTGTAATAAAACATTATACGGTATTAGTTTTAAATACTGCAATGCAGAAGCAAAATAAGGAACTTACTAAAGCAGGCCTGGGTTTATTTTCCTTTTTTATTCTTTGTTCTTTCTCTTTTTTCTTGAAATGACCTGTTCTTAGTTTAAATGTTTGATATATTTTCTGTGCTCTATTGTGAATGAAATATTTGCAGATTGTTAAATTCATTTTTGGTTCAATTTTTACACAACTTTGAACCTTTCTTGTAACTGGGGTTGCAAACTGCCCTAAAATTAATGAGTATGAATTAATTTAAACAGCGAGAAACTAATAAAATGAAATGAAAATGATCAATAGCTGAATCAAAGCAGATTCATCCAGCTTCCAGCTCTCAAAGCCTCTCACAGTTACCTTACATTAGCAAACTGACAGAACAACCCCTGAAATACCTGTGAAGCCTCTGTTACCAACACAGAGTCTCACAGCCTGCGTCTGCGTCACAGGATGAAGGTCTTTGCTGAGATGCTCATACAGCGCTCTGCTGTCCTTATCTGTCCTACTGTCCTTCTCTACTAATCAGACTGAAAACATGACAGTGGTGGCATTAATCATCACGTATGTAAATGTTTCCCAGGGTAATTTCAGTCAACAGCACAGGTCATACTGAGGCATGAAGAACAGATCTTATGCAAACTTACTGACTTCCTGTGTTTGCTGCTGCCTTAAACAGATGTTTACAATCTCACACTATTTATAAAATAGGAAGATTTTATAAATGCAAAAAGAAACATACCATGAGTTCAACATTTATTTGACAGCTACTCTGCAGAACAATTTAAAATAAATAAATACATTAGCTTTAAAGAACATTAGCATGAAACATGTAATAGTGAACATGGTTGGTAAGCAAAGATGCTCACACAACAAATCCTTATTATGACCTCATGTGAATGTGCAGAAGGACACTTCTGCCAATAACACTCCCCACTTCACTTAAAAAACAATCAGCATTTATTCATAAAATTAATAAACAGTTATTAGCTTTAGCTCAGTAAAATGTTCAGTCTGTACTCTTAACGGTTTACTTCTGGCTAAGTGTAAAGAAAAACAAACTCATGTAGGGATGAGACTGTAAAGCATGAACGTGTAAAATATGAAACTTTAACCGAGTTTTCAGTTTGGTTACTTCAGCCAGCAGCAGAATTTCTTCCCATGGTTAAAGCTCGTGTGTCAGAAAGTCAAAACTCTCCCTGTATTCAACTGTTTCCCTCAAACTGTCACATCGTTGAATTAAAAGAATCTCACATTTTGTGAGAGAACGACTTCATTTTGAACCCTGCAGGAGAAAATATGCCATCAGCAGAACAGAAGCTAGTCTGCAGTAGAATACAGTGGATTTTCCAGAGAGGCGCTTGGGTCAGAGCCTGCGTCTCCCTGAGGCTCAGGCGAGGTGCTGCTGGGAGAGTCCACGTCTGCTTTTGAACTATTCAGCTCAGATTTGGTGAGTTTGCTCGAGTCGTCTTCAGCCTGAGAAAAACAAAAACAAAAAACAGAGATTTTATTGTTTTTACTGGAATATTTTTTTATTAATATGTTCATGTTGTTTCCTGAAGCTAGCCTGTTAAACCCCAGGGGTCTTTCTCAGGTTCCTGCTTGGAAACAACACACCCAGAATGAAGAGTATTTCTCTGCAATTACAAACTGTGTGTAGTATTAAAATAAACACTTGTGAGGCTTCATCAGAGCTGTAAATATTACAGCAGATGTTATTGTGTCTGGAAAAATAAGACGATTTTTTTTCCTCGCCCAATTTTCTTTTACTTTTATAACAACTTTCAAAATCTTCTGGCGTACACATTAAACCAGGAATCAACATGAACATGATCTGTGCAAAGACCGATGCTGCAGTGAAACAGAGCAAAGTTACAGAGAGTTTAGTGAAGACAAGGCCAGGGGTTCTGCAGTTTGGCAAACTGTGAGTTGGTTTTGGCTCAGGAGGCGAGATCAGCACGAGTTGATGCAGCTAAATGTGACACATCACAACAGACAGTAGAAGTCAACAATATGAACGACACAAAGGAAAAATGTCCCAGACACAAAACCTTTCCCAGATTACAGTTTTGCTTTGTTCTGTCCAGCGTTTTCCTTACGCTGTGCTCAGGCGTGGCTGCAGTGATCACGCTGTAATCATCGGTGGTTTCAGGCGTGTTGTTGTATTTGGCCAAAGCATAAACTGAACTGATTTCCACAGGAGCGGCTCCTTTCTGTCCGCCCTCGTCTCTGATTTCCTCATACACGGCGTTGGTGGTCTGCAGGAGAAGAAAAAACTTCAAATCCTGTAACGTCAAACTCTGATGATGTCAGAGTTCGTGGAGCTCACCTCTGTGACAGCAGCGTACTCTATTTCCACAGGATGACCTGAAAAACACATCAGTGAGTTTGAACCAGTGCAGGTGAGGAGAGAGGACAGGTGTGTGTGTCCTGAAAACAACAGGAAGTCAGGTGATGCAGTTAAACATGGCGGCCTGTTACAGCGGCTGCAGTGGCTGTTACACACAACTCAAGACATCTTAGACACACACTGCCTGCGTGTGTGTTTGTCTCTGTGTGTGTGTGTGTGTGTCTGTGCATGTGTGTGTGTGAGTGTGTGTCTGTCTGTGTGTGTGCGCGTCTGTGCATGTGTGTGTGTGTTTCCTGTTGCCTCACTCTTTGCAGATCTTTTCTTGCAGAATATCAGCACAGACACTGATAAAAGGATGATGATGATGATGATGATGATGACAGCCACAGTCAGACCCACAGACGGCAAACCATCTGCAGCAGATTCAGAAGACGTTAGTTTACACTCACACCTCCTGATACAATAGATAATCAGTATTTTCTCTGTCATGTTAGTAATATGAGGCCTGTGAGGTGAGTGTTTACCAGTATGAACCTTTACATTCAGACTCAGGGTAAGTTGGAGAGTTGCTTTTGCATTACTGTGTTAAACAGTCTCAGTGTTTGGACAACAGCACATCTTTAAGTTTATCTCTGTAGACCACAGCAGTGGATTTTAAACCAAACCATCAACATTTGAGGAAAGTTTTAATTAAATATTTTAAATTAACAAAATTCTTTGATATAAATTCCACAGTGATCGTGTGCAGATGTGGATCTTTAAAAACCTGTGGACACAGTGGTACCTTCAGATGTTTTCTCGGGCTGCTCAGTGGTGAGTGAAGGTGAGGAGGCTGATTGGACGACTGCTGAAACAGGTCAGAGAGTGAAGTTTGGTTTAGATGTGGTTCTTATTTAAAAGCAGAGAAAAAGCAGCCCGCTCACACACTCAGAGTCACACATCACTGTGTGTCAAAGTGTGTCTCTCACTGCGAGTAAGGATGTTTGTCACATCACATCTTTGACGTCACAGTAGGCAGGTATCATAGCTCAACATGCTGGGTGTATTTTAACCACCCTAATATTCTTCTGTACTATAGCCAACCATTAATATGCGTCCAAACCAGTGCATGAAACCAAGAAACAAACACAAAAGTCCCTCAGAGTGGACACAGACTGCTGTCTTCAAACGTTGTGACCTTTCCCATCTCCTGATGTTGTAGCACTTTAACAAAAAGGACACATCAGTCCTCCTGCAGCCAGTTTGGAAATGACCAAAGTCAAAGAACACCTCATTCTTAAAGGTGAGACACCAGCAGCGTCTCATAGATCTGCAGTATCTGACATCTGGGACAAAAGTGTAAAGAAAGATTCTGAAATTCAGATTTTAAAATAGCACCAAGTTTTGATACTGCTGCAGAAAAACTGTCAAATTAGATTTTAGTTCCAGAAAAAGTGCAAATCATTAGCTACAGTAAGATAACATGTCTGGTTATCTGAAACGGCAGCAGCTATCAATGACTGAATTAGCAACATTAAAAACATATTCAGGGAAACCTCACCATCTGTGACGTTGATCTCAAAGTCTCTGAATGAACCTTGACCAACAGCTGGATTCAGAGAACATCTGTACCGTCCTGAGTCAGACTCAGTCAGCTGTGTGATCGTCACATACAGAATTCCTCCTCCTTTATATTTCTCCTCTGACGTTCCTCTAAATCCAATTCTGTATCTGTTTTTGAAATCATCTTCACCATCTGTTTGAAGAAGAACCTCATGCTCTCCACATTCTCCTCTGCAGAGGTACTTATGTCCTCCAGCCGGATTAAAGGAACATCCGACTGTGAGAGAGCTTCCAGTTTCTTTATCAAAGTGTTTCAGCTGATCATCGTTTCCATCCAGCAGTGCTGTTAAAGAGACAAACGATCAGTAGTTACTATCCGTGCTGAAGATGATGCAGTCTGATCACAATAACTCCAGTTTGACCCACAGTTACACTGGGAGCTGCCCAGTTCAACCAGTCTGTGGCTGGAACAGTGAATTCAACATTGATTTGAAGTGAATTGTTCAGCTTCAGCCCGACCTCCTCGTGCCATCATCACAACATCATCATAAAACAGTGACACACGCAGACACTCTGCTAGTGTCACTCTGGAGGTTTTACTGTGTTTACTGTACAAAGCAGGATTTAATCTTGTCCACGTAACTTCAGGGTTAATCGTGTTTTTAATATGAAGCTGGTTCACTTATTACCCGTTTACATCCCTGTGCTAATATATATGCTAAGCTTTTTTTTTTTTTTTTTTTTTTTTTTTTTAAATGACATCAGAAACAGCAGTATGCGACATTACGTGATGGCAGAGCTTCAGTTCATCCTTTGTCATTTTTTTTTTTTTTTTTTTATAAATAGGACAGGGGGAATGAATGAGAGAGAGAGGGGGAGAGAAAGAAAGAAAACCAAAGGGGAGAAGAGACGGTGAGAAGGGGGGGAAGAGAGAGAGAAAAAAAAATAACTCCTGGGTCACCTGTATGGAGAAAAAAAAAAAAAACAAACAAACAAAAACAAACAGAGGAGACAGCAAACAACAAAGAGCAACATAATAATAGAGAAAACAAAGCACCATCACAATAAACTAGCTAGTCATAGATATCAGTATTTACTAAGTAATAAACGATATTGTGCAGCACGCAAGATAGACAGCGCACAGTGTGCTTTGAGGCAGCAGCCAAGAAAGCTTTAGTCCGCGTCTGTGAATACCCATGTGTGCATACCTGTGTGGATCAGCATGCTTGCATTCCAAAGGTTTCTCCATGTAATGATCTGCTAGGGAGTGTGGGGGGGCCACAGCCCCGTCCTCCAGGGTGTGAAGCGGGTATGGAGGAGATCAAAACTCCAGACATCCAGAGGCCCCCAGAACACAAGAGACCATGGAAGACCAACAGAGGGGCAGCCGCGCCACTGTCCCAGTAAGAGCTGAGGAGAGTCCCAGATGAGGGCTCACTCAGCAGCCGCGGAGCAGAAGCCAGGGGGAGTTGCAGTGACGCGCCCGTGAGCTCCGCCGGCTCCCAGCTGCGCCTGAGTGACCGAGCCCTAGGCCGAGAGGCCGGGGGCACCCCACCTCCAAAGGGGCCCGAGCGAGCCCCAGGCCCCAGGCCCCGACAAGCGGCCGCCAAGGAGTGAGCCGGTGTGTACCCGGACGCCCACCCCCAGACACAAAGAACCACCAACACACCGACACCTGAGGGAGTCCGCCACCGGCAGGGGAAGTGGTGGTGGGTGGAGATAGGCCTCCAAACCTTGGAGGGCCTGAGGTGTCCCCAGAGAGGTGGCGCCTGACACCCAACCTGACATATAGACACAGACATACAGGCACACACAGATACAAACATCCATTCCCACCCTCATGCTCTCATATGCACTCACTCCACACTCAACCAACGTGGAGACAGACATAAAGAGACGCTGTACGCACAATCACACTCCCCAAGCGTACTCTACAAACCGGGTCTAGGTACCCTTGCCCCTGGAGGGGGGAATTGCACCCAGACCCAGGTGGTGTTACCCTTTTCCCTGCGGTGGGGAGAGGCAGACCACCCCGACTCCGCAGCAGCAGGGAGGCCCCACACCCCAGACCGCAGTCGGACGGCCAACTCCTCCTCCTAGCCCCCCCGCTCCAGCAGGCCGCAGAGAATGGGGGTGAGAGAAGACTCCAAACCTCCCTCCACCCGCTCATTGTAGTGTTGATGCATGTGTGTTCTAAGGTGCAATTAAAACCCAGGAGGGCTTGGAGCTACCTGCCAAGGAGCAGCAGGTAAGCGCATGGTCCCTCCTGCTAACCCTCAATGTCTAAGTGTATTTAAAATTGAGAGGTGGGCAACGACGTCAGGGGTGAGGTATACACCCTGATGGTGATTTGGACTCCGTGATTGTGCCCACCCCCAAGATCCTATATGTATGTGTAATGAGAGTGTGAATAATGTGAATGTCTAAGTTGTGGGATAAAATTGAGGCAGAGGCAGCCAGAAGGGGACAGGGGGGGGGGGGGTAGCCTCCTCTGCACCCTGGTGACATACCCCCACTCCAAGGCCCTGCATGTGTGGGTGGTTGTGGAGGAGCGGGAAGAGGGAGGCAGCTGGAGATGGGGAGGGAAGGAAGGGAGGGGCAGGTAACCCTCCCTGGGGCCAGCTCCCCCGCTGACCCCAGTAGGCACTCCCACCCTCCGCGACCCGCCAGGGAAGGGGGGCCCAGGCCCATCAGACCGGGGCCCAGTGCAGTAGCGCCCCCCGGCTCCACAGAGCCCTGGACAGTCCACCCAACCCCACCACAGAGAAAACTGCACCCACCCCACCAACCACACATCTTCCAGACTACATAAGACGGTAAACGCCCAGGCTGAGATCTTCCTCCACCTCTCCTGTATCTCCCCCTCCTGCATATGCTAAGCTAATCTGCTCCAGAGCAGGTTATGTTCCAGATCACAGATCACCAGGAAACCACAACCTACTGTCCAATCAGATCTCTGGAACCGAGACCTCTGAGAGCAGATGGTGGTGTTTAATGTCTTTGCTTCTCCCTGTTGATGCCTGAAGGAATATTAATTATTAAATACAAATTTATTCCCTGATTCTTTTTTCTACTGCAGTTTTATTGTTTCATAATCAAAGTATCTGATCCTAAAACAAGCAGCTGTTCGATGACCTCACATCAGATTTGCACACAACTCTAACAAGAGGTGCATTTGAAAGAGTAAAAACTAAACCTTTCTTTTAAACATGAATTTAATGAAATGCTGATTATGATCCATCAGATTCTCTGTGTTTTAATGAGCTGAGACACTGATCACTTCAAAAACCTAAACTTTATTAATCCAGTAGCTCGTTCACAGTCTTACTGATGGCAGCGTTCATTCAGGCCTTTAACACAGTTTACTTTAGTCTGTATTACTGTGTGTGTTTAACCTCTTTATAGTTTTATCTTCCTTCTTAAAATCAGCTGCTCTGATGTCTCCATGTTTCTGATTGGTCAGATGTTGCTCCCGCCTCTTTCATGTGAACAAACTGGCAACGAAGGGGTTAACTTAGCGAGCTGGTGAAAAGCTTCATGCTAATGCTGATGTCAGGTTCAGTGAGTCCACACAGGACTGTGGTTTAGGAAACTCAGGCTTTAACCCTGAACGCTTCAGTTCCTGTGCAGGTGATCAGAGGAATCAAAAACCCAACATCATCACTGAAACCATGAACCAGGACTCACTGTGCCAACAGAGCAGAGCCTCAAATTTAATCCAGCAACATGAGAATAGTGTGAGGTTAAGAACGCCTCAGTGAATCCTGTGCAATACAAACATGGATCAAACAGATAAATTCTAATTTACACACAAACCTTTGATTTCCATTTTCAGACTCAGAAACTGAACACAGTTTAGTTCATGCTCATGACGTCCAGCTCAACCACAGAAAGCAGATCAGCTGATCACTTAGACGAGACCTCAGATATCATATTAGCCGATCTCATATAGAGCTGTTAGTGTCTCCTGCCCACAACCCTCCACCACAGCGTCTGATGAAATAAATGTGTCTGTCTGCTCTGTTCTGTGCAGCACGATTCACTCACATCATCCTGACATGATGGACATTATGGCACGAACGTTCTTTTCCATAGTTTATATACAAGACTAGAGTTAAAGAAACAGTTTAGTAAAGAGGAGTTTTGTTCAGAGAGTCACTGCCTGTGAAAACTGATAAAAAGTTTAAGTAAAAAACTCAGTTTCACAAAACTTTTCTTCAGACTTTCAGAGACAAAGCAGAGAAATCAACATTTCCACAGTTTAGACTGAAACTCACCTTCAGCAACAACAACTTCAAACTGTTTGTATGAAACTGATGATGGAGATTCAGCCACAGCACAGCTGTACTGTCCAGCATCAGACATGATCAGCTGTGTGATGTTCACAGACAAAGCAGGAGCATATTCTACAGTTATATATTCAGTGCTGTATCTTTGACGTTGATGCTTCTCATCTGTTGTATTAATAAGAATGTTTTCTCCTTCACATTCTCCTCTGCAGAATATTTTCCATGTTCCAGCAGAAAACCTGAATTCAGCTGTAAGATTTCCTCCAACGACTCCAAATGAAATGTTTTTGTTGTTGTTGACTTCAGGGTTTCCCTCCTGCAGAGCTGTTGGAAACATGAACCATCAACAGTTACTGTTTGTACTTCCTGTAAGAAGCTGCAGTCTGATCACAGCATCCACACACAGACACACTGAGACTAGAGTCTGAATGTGAAACACTGAGAGGTCAGAGTTTAAACATCATCTTCTGTTTCACTTTTCTCTCCTCATTGATCAGAACAAAGATCCACATTCAGTCCTGTTAGAGCTCTGACACTAAACTGTTTGTGATCAAGAGGAAACTAAAAGTTTAACATCACTGAGTTATTCACACTTTGGTTTTAGGCGATGACTCACAGTTTATATTTGGCTGCAGGATGTGAGGCAGTTTATTCTGTTTCACCTGAGTTATCAGGAACAAAGTGTTTGCAGGCAGATTGTCTTAGTTTAGTCAGATTAAAGTTCAGCCAAGTCGATAAACTCTGAAGGCAGCAGGCTGAGTTTGTTCCCTTTATTTTACTGAGGAAGTAACAAACACTTGTAATGAGCTGTGCTTGAAACGATGGTTTCACATGTTATCAAGTCCTGAGGTGAGCAGCAACATGTCCATGAATGTCTCACTGTGATGGTTTCTTCTGTCCATACTGGCCACAAACACATCCATGAAATCATGAATAAAAGCAGTTTGAATGGAAGAAGCGTCCATGAAAGTGACTCATAGCTGACTCTGATCATCATGTTTAACAACAGAAACATGTTGAAGAAGGAGAGTGACAGAAAGAACAAGTGAATGTACTCACAAAGGAAGAAGAAGCAGATCAGAGTGTGACGGACTTTCATGATGAGGCTCTGATGGTTCACTGCTGCCTCTCTTCTTCTTCACTGGAAACCAGGAACTTGTGACGCCTCACTTCTCTGACTGAAGGAGTCCCTCCTCCAAACACCACAGCACCTCTACACTCCTCTCCTCTGCATCCGTCTGTGAGTCTGCTGCAGGGCTTCCTGCTCATTCATGCACCTCTTTACATTTACATTTATTCCTGAAACCAGAATTCACATCACTAATTTAAAATGTGATGATGTGTCCAGCTGATTCTTCCACCTCAGCTAAAATTCATTTAGTCTTCTTCTAATATTAAAACTCTTAAATGATCATAAGTGTCATTGTTATTGTGCATATTGTTCTTGAGACTTCACAGCATTTCAGTACCTGCTGACTCTGAGGTTGTAAGTCTGTCCGACCTTCATTAAAGATGTAAGTTTTTCCATGAGATCTTTGGAATCTTGTGTTCATATTTTTATTAGATAATTCCTTATTTAATTAACTTAGTTTCATTTTGACTGGACATAATAATGAGACTTCAATATTACATCATAACTAACATGACATCCAGCACAAAGACCCAGGATAGAGGATCATTCTGGTCCATTTCAAAAAGTTGCATTGAGGCTGTTTTTTGTCTATAACAGCTGCAACAGCTCGACTTCCTGTTGATGCGATCTCACTGAGTCTGAGGTCAGCTCGTGGCAGAAAAGGAAGCTGAACGTCAACACTGACCAAGTTTGACAAACTTATTGCTCAACAGCACTGAGGGAACAGTTAATATCTGTGCTGTTGTTACATGGAGAATTATTTTATTCTCACAATAACAAAGAGGAAACATCTCCACTGACCATGAACTGACTTAACATTCAGAATCTGAGTTTCTTTGGTAAATATGAACTTTAGTGTGTGCAGAGTTGCTGTGGTTGTTCTTGTTAATGAATTTCTTTGAATAAAAATCTTTTTACAGCATTAGTTTTAAACAGTGGGCTGATACTCATTGCAGAAGCAAATAGAGGAAGTTCATATTGCTAAGGTTAAAAATAAGCGGTGCTGGTTGCTCGTACGTCGCACCATGTAAGGGTGTGAAGTCTATGATGGACGTGCAGTCCGAAAGAAAATCCCCATTTTGTTTTCATGACTGACTCTGAAGTTGTGACACAGAGGAAGAGTTTATTGCAATCATTTCAATACTTAGAATTTAGCCAAGGGGAAGTCTCTATGAGGACAAAAAATGGTCAGGTTTCCTGCTCAGTGGGTCAGGGTTACTGTGGTGCCACTCCTGAGCTGGGTCCAGGGCTCGAGGATGAGCCACCATGAGCCAAAAGTCCTCTTGGACAAATTCACCTCAGAGTAGGTGAGTTTGTGTTGCGATCTAAAAGTAGTTATAAAACTTACTAAAGTAAATACTGAAATACTTACTAAAGACTACACTTATTTAACAGTGTTTTATTTTTGTTTCGAAGCGTAACATGATGACAGTGCAATGTGGTTGGTTAACTAAGAATGTGTTAAGTGGGTCCCATGCAGTGCTGGAGCCGAATCGTGACACACCATGAGCAGACGGCCTAGTTGTTAGAGAACGGCTAATTCAGCTCCCCTCAGAAGATAATGCTAAAGTTGCAGTGACTGTGGAAAATATGACTGACCATGATATCACCCTCTGTGGTCGCACTACACTGGGGTGGCTGCACAATGCTGATGCCATCTACATGCCGCAGGTAAAATGTATGGAGGGTGAGCTTTCTAAGACATCAGACAGTAGTGCTTCCACACCCACAGTGCAGTCCAGTCAGACAACACAAACTGAGCCCTGGGACCCACCAGTGGATTTGCGCCATCTGACAAGTGACAAACAGCAGCAGGTAAAACAGATGCTGAGGGAGGAATGCAATGTTTTTGCGAAAGATGACTGAGACATGGGATGCATTAAAGATCTGTACCTGGAGATACTAGCTAAAAGCTAAAAGACAATGGGCCTGTGCAAAAGACATATATGCAATCCCCAGACACCTTTATCAGGAAGTTAAAGCACACATACAGGACTTACTCAATCAGGGCTGGATCCAAAAATCTTGTTCTTCATATTCTTCACCTGTGGTATGTGAGGAATAAAGATGGTGGCCTTCACATGTGCGTAGACTGTAGGGATCTGAATGATGTCTGACACTGCCCGACAGACATCCCATCCCGAGAATACAAGAGATCTTGGAAAACCTCGGGGGCAACTCCTTGTTCACAGTATTGGACCAGGGAAAGGCTTATCACCAGGGTTTCATGAGTGAGAACAGCAGACCCTGTACTGCATTTATAACAACATGGGGACTCTATGAGTGGGTGAGGGTCCCATTCAGCCTTACTTATGCCCCAGCAGCATTCCAGCGCTACATGGAGGGATGCCTGGGAGACCTCAGGGATGAAGTGTGTGTCCCATATTTGTATGATGTACTCGTCTTTAGCTCAAGCTTCGAACAACACATCCAAAATGTGAGGAGACTGCTACTGTCAACTAGGGATAGGTACTGGTATCCGGTGCCATTATGGCACCAGTTCTGACATAAACGGTAGTAACCAGACTGAAATGCAGCGCACATTTCGGTGATTTATTTTGGTGCTTTCCCCCCCCTGAGATGTCATACACTTTGGATTCTAGCCAATCATTTTACCTTTCCAAGGATAGTAGGCGGGCCCAGGTACGTCCGTTCTTTTAGAGCAGAGCTACAGATTAAAAATGACCAAGGCGAAGCGGTCAAAATCTGGCTGTACTTCACAGCAAAAGATGCAAACTCAGCATCAACAAGTGCTTTAAGCTGATACTGTGATACTGTCAAAGGAGGTAACACCTCGAATCTCATGAAACACCTGGCGACGCATAGTGTTTGTTAAAAAGCCGAGAAATGAACCGTATTTGATAGCTTGCTGCCAGACCTCACACCGAGCACATCTACTGCGGATGTGGTGCCTGTTATCGGATCCGGAGTTAGCAACATCCCCCAAAAACCCGAAGAATAGAGTCCTGGCCCCTAGCCCTGCCAGTGTAGCAGAAATGATGAGGATGATGATGCAGCAGCAGCCGTTCTTCTCTGCGTGAGTAGCTTCATGTTGTTCGTGTGTAATTTACGTTGAGTAGGCTAACCACATTATTACATTAATGCATGTAAGGTGAACTAGCAAACATCATCATAGCTACATGCGGCTGTCTTCTTGTTTGATGGCAGATACTCCCTTCACCCTGGCCAAAAAGGCTAAAATGACCAAAGAAAAAGAGGGAAACAGCTGAACATGAGAGGTTTTTGGACAAAGTTTGTGTTTTTTCCATTGTTTAAGCACTGCTTCCAGCCAAGAGTGATACCATATATGCCCCATAGCTGCAGAAAAGGCTAACATTGATATCTTTTTACAAAAAAACAGCTGAACATGAGAGGTTTTTGGACAAAGTGTGTGTTCTTCATTCTTTAAGCACCGGTTCGAGCACATGTTCGATACCACATGTGACATGTGTATTATTGTAGGGTTACAATAAAGTACCTTGAGGTTACTGTTGTGATTTATGTACATAAAATCAAATTGAAGTGATACCCACTAATGTGTGATCACATTGATGTCATTGATTTATATTTAAGCTATTTTACTTTAAATGTAAGAGATGTTTCTATTTGAAAATGCTCTAAATTAACTAGTTTTAGGTAGGCTTGGCTTGTGGCTTGGCTTGTTCCTTCCTATTGGATGTTTAGAGTGGGGTAATGCAGGAAGCCATTTTTGTATTGGGATTTGCACAATGAGGCATACCAGACGTCTCCCTGTTTAATCCTTCGTCATCCACCTTGTTATGCCATGAAGAAGCTTTGTTTGTAAGTTTGAATTGTGTTTCATCTTGATGAGTAGTGAGTGGTGTATATTTTATTGATTTTATGCATATTTGGAGAGATTTGTATGTAAATGCCTAAATCTGTTCGCCATGTGAAGCAAATGCATAATTCATTATTTCCATTGACCATATTTATTTGATGTAATATTCAATAGTGAAGTGTTCATTCCTTGTCTTCATTAAAGCCTTATTTTCATGCATTTATTTCTACCAGGGAGAACACAGGTGAGCTTTAAGGCCTGGACGAGTTTGAAACCTTTTCCCGCCAAAATGGAAACTGGCTGAAAATAAAAATGGGAATCTCTTTATCTGTTAATTTTATAAATTCTTCTCTCAGCTTTGCAGTTGCTGCTCGTTTTATGAGACGAGTAAACCCCAAAAATCAGCAAGCACATGGTGACAGTGGGAAGGAAAAACCCTTTTGTCTCCACTGCTGTTCAGTATAGACCTAAAACTTCAAGGATTCTGTTAATGGTTACAAAACAAAACATGTACTTATAGGTGAAGTGGGAAGCACATGTTTGCAGTGAGGTGTCAGAGGACGGATGTTTCTTGTAAAACAGCTTTTGTGTCTGTGTTGAAACTGATTCATGGTTTTCACTGAAAGGAAGCTTTTTTCCAGTAAAGCCATCACTGTCATTGTTATACAGATTTAGAAAGCTTCAGTTTTCTTCTTTTATTTTTGTTTAATTTATGATTTTCTTTTTTTTTTTAAACACTGAAAATGTTGAGTGAAACCCTGGAATCAGGAAACAAACCCAGGTGTGAATCCAGAGAGTCTCATGTGTGGTGTGTGAGTGTAGAGTAGGTCTGGTCCTGGTCCCTGCCGGCTGGATCGAGGCTCTGGTAGGTCGAGTCTTCACGTGTAGAACCTGGAGTACAGTTCTCGTAGTGGACGTCCTGAAACAGAGACAAACTGTCTTCTTCACATAAAAAGAAGAGACTCTGACTTGGTTAAATCATTTGTGCTGGTAAATATTTCCACGTTGCCTCGTTGAACCTCTCAGACAACAGTGTCTCTGTTTGTTGTTGGAGTCTCCGTCTGGGCGGCCATTTTTGTCACCTACCTGTTTGAATTCACCTTCTTGGACTGTAATTTCTGGAACAGTCTACAAACTGAACCATCACACTGTGACTGCTTTATTTCTTTGTTACAGTAGCAGTCTGTCAACA